GAATTGGTCGGCCGAGCCTGCGTCTTGTTTGTTATGCGAAGAGGTACTGACGTTTCACGATCCCTGGACCATCTGTGCTGAATGTTACAATACCTGCTGGCTTCATTACGAGAGCGAGCTCGGCGACAAACCTGCCAGTCTCGTTTTCGCTTTCCTCCAATCGGAAGAGCCACCCGAAGATGCTTGGGCATAGGAGCGACCAGGTTGAATGCAATGCAGGATTCGCAGATTTGCTGTTTGCATACTAGGCATCCAACGAGGCTGCCATTCTTGCCTTAGTTGGATTGTCGACCGCTGCGAGGTTGAGATGTGGAAAGGGCTGCGGCTTCTGGCCAGGCCAAGCCGAGACTTTTTGTGGCGTTCCCTAGTGACATCCCTCGCAAGTGCATCGGTTTCTCTCTTTACATATGTAGAGGGCACGATTTTCTGCTGCCGTTCCTGGGGTTGGCGGAGTGGGAGCCGAGGCATTTCTTCGATGGCAGAAAATGCTTCGGCATCTGGCCACACCAAGTTGAGCGTCTCGTTTTGTTGGGGTGAGATGCATGGCGACTCGTATGCGGTGCATATGCGACCTGCACTTCGCAAAGCGATTCTTTCGACGCGGCAGTGCTGGCATGCCCTTTTCGGCCGAGGCAGGCTCATGTGTTCGATCGATTAACGGGGTCGCGGAGCTGCCGCGGCAATTCGAACTGGTCGGTCGAGTCTGCAAGCTGTTAGTGACGCAAGAGCTGTTGCATAACTAACAATCCCTCAAGTCTTGGTGGTACACGCCAGAAGTTCCGGTGGCTCTGCCAAGAGAGCGAGCTTGGCTGCAGACCTGTTAGACTCCTTTCATCTTTCCTCCGACTGGAAGAGCTGTCCGAAGATGCTTGGGTACACGAGTGACAAATCTGAAAGCAACGCAGGACTTGCAGATCGGGCGTAAAGTTGCCGTTCGTTCCAGGCAGATCTTGCGGAAGCGGTTCACGTCGGAAATTCGGTGTTGCGCTCTTTCCGGTACTCAGGCTGCAGTCGGCCACGGTAGGTAGTAGCTGTTTGCATATGACACGATATGTCTTCCGTCGCCGAGCGTTAGGCGGCTCAGATTTGGACTTTTTGACTTGCCATGCCGGCCCAGCGGCGGGCGCAGAGAGTCTTGTCTCGTTCAGCCTGTTCTTGTGTCATCTGCACGTAGTGTCGTTCGACCGCTCGAGTCATGTCGAGCAGTTTTTATTCATGTTGTTCCTGCGTGCGTCAGGACGCATCGCAGCCGAGGCAAGGCTATGCCGGCAGGGAAATCTTCTGGCGCCTCGGCTGCTGGCCAGGCCAAGCCGAGACGCTTGCCCTTATTGGATTAAGTTCATGTTTCATTGAGGAGACGCCCTCGCGAATTAGTGTATTCGTCTTCGGTTCAGGACTTTCGTCAGTCCGTGATCGAGGTCTCGTCGCCAGCTTGCAACTGAACCGAGGCAAGCTCCCGGCTGTTGCAAAGTTTTCGGCTTCGGCTTCTGGCCAAGTCAAGCGGAGATTCTCGTGCCTGTTTAAAGAGATATATCGGGACGAACAGCGAGCCCTATTTGTGCCGTTCGGCAGTTCCGTCAATGAAGCCGAGGCCAAGTCGCGCTGGTTCCACGACGGGTCAGAGCCAAGTCGCCCGCTTGCGGAGTGAAGAAGGACATTCGAGCTTCTGTGAAGATCGAGAAATCACGAGAGAACGAGGGCTCCGTCGACGCGGCGGGGGCAACTCGCGCGAAGAAGCAGAAAGGCGTCCGAGTCAAGCCAGAGTTGAAGGAGTCGAAGGACGGCAAGAAGAATAAGGTTTCATGAGTGATTTGCAAGGGCTGTCATGACGAACTGTGAGCTTCGACTCTGCAGCATCACTTTCGGTGTGCTGCTTCAGATCTGCTGAGCTTGCCGCGATTGCAGGTTTTGAGGCTCCTTCTGCTAGAAGGGAGAGATCAGGAGCAGACCACTTGACGGCTAGGGAACAGTGTCGCTCCTCATGGAAACGACCTTGACCCGTCGAGCAGTCTGGATCCATGAAAGCTTCGAGTTGCATCGGCCTCATGTCTCATTCCGCACCGCTGAGTTTGCTCATCGTGCCGCTTTTGAAAAATTTCGTGAAAACATCCAGAAATCCCAGGAGCCGTTGGCCGAACAATTGAACCGAGAGGCCTGGGCTCGTCATGACATTTGCGAGGATGATGCTGCTTCTCTGACGCCTTCGGAGTCTGGAGATGCCGGTGAGGAAAGGGCTCCTCAGATCATCTTTGCTAGTCTTTCGGATGAACGCAAGGAGGCTTTGGCTGCCGGGTGCAGCCTGACAGCACCGACGCGAATCATGCATCGCGCTCCTTCTGGGCGCAAGCGCCCGGCGAGCTCCTCCAATTCGGACCGAGGCCATGGTCATTGGCTGCGCGGCCTCAGTGGCCGTCTTGATGACGTCGAGGGCTTCTGTGGGTCAATCATCGACAATAATTTCTCTCGCAGCCTTCATGCTCGCCTCCTCCGTGTGGAGCGACTGCTGAGTGTGCCCGAACCTTCTAATCCATTAGGGCATTCTCCGTGAGATGCATGCAGCTAGCAAACCAGCACTGGTGCCGCCTGCCATGAGAAATCTTCAGAACTGCTTGTCTGCAGGAACACTTGTGCTTCTATCAGCGTCGTGCCTGTGCCTGTCAGGTCTTGACGGCTTCTAGCCGTTTGCAGGATCCTAGACCTCCATAGCGTGCCGAGGGCACTCTGCATTCGCGCTCCGCAAGGTGCGCCTGCCTGTGCTCTCCCGCTTGCTGTGCAACTTCAAGTTCTTGCAAATTGCCGAAAAGTGGGGCTTAAGTTCTAGGCATTAGGGTAATGGAGTTGCTGCGTGCCGAGCAGCATCAGAAGAAGAGACCCAAGCATGCTTGGGAGCAGGAGCCTCGGGGCATTGCGACCTTTACATCGGTCTCGATGGGGGCCTCATTCAAGTTGGGCCGTTCTGAGCACATGCTTTGGGAGCTCAGGGCTCAGCAAGGATTGAAGCAGGTTGATGCGATCGAGAATGTGAAACTTCCAGTGCTCCCATACGCAGCTAGGAGGGCGAAGATGATGGATTGGCCTGAGATAGCTGATGATATGAAGAGGAAGTCGTTGCACCTTGTTAGGATCATGGTGGAGTCTGATTTCCACGCCACGAAGCTCGGGACCATGCTTTACGAGCTTAGCGGGAGCCTCGACAAGGAACCTCAGATCCAAAGGACCATCGAGCTCACCTTTGCCAAGAAGGCCGCTGCTACCCTGCATAAAAGGACTCTGGCATTTTGGAAGATTTTCGTGTTCCACGTGGATCGGGGCCACAAGTCGGGGCTGCATATGAGCGAATCCAGCATCTTCTTGTACTTTGAGTCGCTGCAGGGTGGGTCTGCAACTGCTCCTCAAAGTGCCCTTGAATCGATATTCTTCATGCACACCCTCCTGGGCATTAAGGCGCCGATAGAGGACCTGGTGTCGCATCGCATCCGGGGCTTGGTCCACGAGGCTGCCATAACGAAGAGACCTTTAAAGCAAGCGAGGGGGCTCACGGCGGAGGAAGTGCGATTTCTTGAGAAGCTTGTGGCGAAAAGCCCAGACACGGCCGTTGTGTGCATTGCAGGGTTCTTCCTCTACGCACTCACCAATAGCGCAAGGTGGGGTGATGCCCAGGCATCCACCTTGCCAACCATCGATGCCTCGGGGTCGCGGCCGGTCCTGAGTTCTGGGACGCTTCGGCACAAGTTGGCCAGCACAGCTGAGAGGAAGACCACTTTGCTTCCTTTTGTGGGGTTTGGTCAACTGGTCACAGGAACTGCCTGGGCACCGAAGTGGCTTGACGCCATGAAGAGGGCACGCCTGCCTAGGACTGGTGTGGACTACATGCTGCCCTCGTGGAATGAATCTTCCAGCCAGTTCATCCGGAGGCGGATGACGAGCGGGGAGGCCACTCTCCACTTGCGCGAGATCCTTAGTCAGATGGAGCATCCGCCGCTGCAACCTTTGCCATCGTCGCATAGCTTGAAGGTGACGCTGCTGGCTTGGATGTGTAAGTCAGGGCTCTTTTCCTTGTCCGAGAGACAGATCATTGGGCATCACCTTGATCGGCCAAGCACCAGCGCACTTACCTACGGGAGGGCTAACTTCGTGGGCCCTTTGGGAAAGGTGGCGGGCATGCTTACAAAGATCCAGGATGGGTCTTTCAGGCCGGATGCTTCTGCGGCTGATCTGATAGAGCAGCAGCTTCATCAGGAAGAGGTGGCATCGGACGAGTTGGAAAGGAAGCTGCATGGTGCTCCCTGTGCCTGCGAGGACAGTGCCTCAGATGACATGGGGCACGATGATGCGGATCAGGCGGTGTCTGCAACGGTGCCGGCGGCTGAACGCCGCATGGTGGAGGCTCCTGATCCGGACCAGTATTTGGTCCACCTGTCCTCGGGTACGCTTCATGCACTGGACCCGGATTCTGATAGATTCCGATGTGGGAGGCCGAAAACACCGAATTACGTCAGGCCGAAGGCTTCCACTTCAAGCCCATACCCCTTCTGTCTGGTGTGCCAGCGTGCACAGGACGCAGGGGGTCAGGCAGCGGCTGCGAGCTGAACTGTGTCAGTGTTACTTGTGTCTGGGAGCTAATGCAGGACGGCATCGCAAGTGAAACTTGTAATGCCTCCATGTTGGGCCGTCGAGCCTGGCAAGGTTTTGTCTGCATCCTCCCTAGTACGTGAGCCCCACATAGCCGACCGAAGTGTGAACAGCAGCGAAGCCCGGGCTTGCCCGAAGATAAGCTGCTTGGGGACCGCGCCGTCGTGCCGACCAAACACCTTCGGGGCTGGGCTTATATCTGGCAGCGAAGCCCGGAAAGACTCTGAAGATGAGCTGCTGGAATTTTTGGGCCGTCGTGCCATGGACGGCCTCTGGGAGTCTCGGAACCCGGGAAAAAGCCGACGTCGTGCCTGCACGGAACTGGCCAGCGGATCAGAAGCTGCTGGTTGCGCTCATGTCCAGGTCCCATGTCGGTGGACTCGCAGGCGGCCTTCAGGGCGGAGGCGATTCGCCTCGGGGTGTCTGAGGCGCATGCCGACTTGCTCATCACGAAGGGCATCCGCACGCACTCGCTGTTCGCCTTCATCTCCAGCTACCAGCCGGGTGCCAGTGACGAGAAGCCGTTCGTGGATGCATTGGTTGCCAAGCTTGGTGAGGAGGCTAAGGATTCGTTACCAGCCTTCCGGCACTTGTTCTACACGAGCCACACGCTAGCGGTCCAGGAGCTCAAGGACAAGCTTGAACCTCGCGAAGAAGCCAAACGCCTCTCTATGGCAGACAGAGTGGATCGCCTAGAGAGGCTCAAGAAGGCGCTGGTGGGATTCACGATTGACACGTGGTTGGAGCCTAGCCACTCCTTGGTGGACAAGGCCGTTGGCTTTGCGGAGGAGGGGTGTCTGGGACCCTTGGAGCTTTCCCGCTGCACGTCGCGGGAGGCGGAAATGAGGTCAGAAAAACGTGACCCGGAAACTTTCCGCTTGGAAAAGCTGAACATCAAGGTCACGAAGCCCCCCACGACCTTGACAGCTGACACGTCCAGTGACCTACATGTTCGGACTTGTATGCAGCGTCGTGCTCTGGCATTCCACATGGCCGGCATTGCTACGTTCGTGGCGCTCGATAAGATCATGACAACTTTCAATCGTGATTGATTAGTCTTTATTCTTGCCCAAAAACCTTTTGAAAATTTTGGGTGCGAAAATTTTCTGTCTGCATGTCAATCGTTGTTTCGCCATACACTTTGTTCCCACGAAGCCTTCTTGGCTGAGGTGGGAGGTGGGAAATCCTAGCAACTTTCAAGGCCATATGGCTTGGTTTTGTTTTGTTGCTAGGGGTGTGTGTGTTAAGAAACCAAGTCAGCCTGCGAATTGAGCCATGGCTGACTCTGGCAGATCAAAGTTCCCACGGCTGGACGAGCCTACGAGCGACTTGGGCGCTTGTATGAGCGGGCATTGAGTGAAGCAAGTGTGCAGCTTGCGGGTCAGGCTACCTTGAAGTTACCCTGGGAGAAGGGCATTTATGCCGAGATTTTCAGTGGTAGCGAGCTGCCTAGGATGCCTACTTTACCTGTGCCTGCTACACTTCCAGTCGTAGATGTTGCAAGACCTGGGACCCAGCACAGCGAAGCCTTGAAGCAGACATCAGATCCTCTGCCAAAATTCGAGAGTGCAGTCTACAAGCACTGTCTGCATAAATCAACTATTGCTGCTGGCGGGAGACCCGGGACAGATCGAGATGCCGTCTACAGGCGCTGGCTTTGTATCTTGGGCCACAATCTTGCTGGCTCTAAGATTGGAGAGTACATTGCTGATGGTGCCGAAGACCCTCTTGTTTTGATTGCGGACACCTTTGGAGGGAAAAGTACGAGCACCTTGCTTAAGAGAGCCAGGTTTGTCGCCCGGATGCTTACGTGGGCGTCTGAGCATAGTCAGACGTTCTTTCCGCTGCGGCTTGGACCATTGCTTTCATTCATGCGCAGTTTGACATCAGAGAGTGCCAAGGCCCAGTGTGGAGAGACAATCAATTTCCTTGTGCATGTCCTTGGTGTGCATGCCGATCTGGATATTTTGAAGCATCCTGTAATCCAAGGGCTTCTACGGGGGTCTCGGTCAACAGGGAAAGAGATCAAGCAGTCCAGGGTACTCACTGTCCGGGAAGTTATGGCGCTCGAAGATATGCTCAGTGATGCATCCCTTGATCCTGTTGATCGATATGGTGCAGGAGTTTTTCTCTTCCAGATTTACAGCCGGGCACGAGTGTCCGACATCAGGAACATCCAGCGCTTTGAGCTCGACCTGAGTGGAGATGACGGATACCTTGAGGCGAAAACGATGGACCACAAGAATGCGACCAGAGGACGTGGGCTGGGGCAGAGCTTGATTCTCGTTGCTCCGGTTCAGGGCCTGCGGGATAAGGCTTGGGGTATCCAGTTCATCGAGGTTGCAAAGATGGTTGGGTTCAACCTTCGACAGGGGCATCGTGGACCTTTATTACCTAGACTTACTGCCGAGGGTCAATGGTCAGGGGAGGCGATCGGGTCTGATGAGACTACATCGTGGCTCAACGGTCTGTTGAATCGCGCTATGAGTGAGCAGATTGCGTCAGGGCTAACATCCCATGGATTAAAGGCAACAACCCTCTCCTGGATGACGAAGGCCGGGTATCCCGAAAAGTCTTGCCTCATTTTGGGGCATCACGCGAGAGCGGGGAAGAAAACTCTTTACACATACGGCAGAGACGTGCAAGCCAAACCATTACGCGAGCTACAAGATTGCATTCGTCTCATCAAGCGTAATGTGTTTGCTCCGGACTCGACTCGAAGTGGCATGTTCAAATCAGGCGAGAGCAGTCATGAATCAAAGGCTGAGGTTACAGACCCTCTCATTCTCGCTGCTGAGCAGTTCCGGTTTGGCGATCCTGATGAAATCATTGACACTGGAGGCGATGTCGGCAGTGAACACGAGCCCTTGCTCGAGGAAGGAAAGCCAGCTGACAATTGTGATGCTGAGCCTGAGCAGGATGCTGAGGATTCCGACTCGAGTACCTCTAGTTCTTCAGGTTCCTCTGATGACCATGCCGAAGCTTATGAGAGTTTCGCCAGTGATGCTGCCCTTGATTGTGCTGTGCCTCACTTGAACAAAGAGGTGGACTTGGATGTTTTCCAGAACCCCAAAACTCTTTCCCTCCATACCCGGGCGAAGGGTTCCGATGGCCCACTTATGTGTGGCCGCAAAGCTGAGGGAATGAAGATTTTTACAAGTAGGGTATACAGCAAGTTTTGGATGTGTAAGCAGTGTGAGCAGGCTCGACCGCTCAGGGACACGAAAGCTGTCGTCGCATACCTGAGCAAAGCTTCCAATCCCAAGAGTGCAGGACCTAGTGGTCTTCATTGAGGATGGCGAGGGCTATGGGCCAGCACAGCGCTTTGCGCGTGCACTCGCAGTTTTGGAGAACATGTGATGGGAAAATTGCGCGAGGGCTCCGGGCCTGCATCGCACAGTGTGCCTGCGCTCGCGAACTTGTGCAAATCGGATTTGCGAAGGTTGGGCGAGGGCTTCGGGCCTGCACAGCACATTGTGCTTGCGCTCGCAGTTTAGTATCGTCTACTTTGTGATGGGCTGGGCGAGGGCTTCGGGCCTGCACTGCACTTTGTGCCTGCACTCGCGAACTTGTGCAAACCGATGTGGTGGCTAAGAGTCTGCTTACCGTCGTGTGGTGGCTACGGGCCTGCACGTCGTCCTGAGGACGAGTGCAATCACATGACAGGAATCCTTGACTGGCGTGAGTACCGAATTGAGCCCAAAAGGTGTGTGGAACGTGGGGATGACACGATGGTCACCCATGTGTGATTACGACTTGTGGGCAGCAGCCAGCTGAATGAATAGAGCCGTCTTATGCGCAAAAAGACCAGCAGTAGTGTGTCGGCATGGCGGTTCCACTGACAGAGTCCAAGGCCGTGTTCTTGGAAAGATGTGAGACGGCCGGATTGCCAAAGCCGATTCGGGACATCTTGGTTGGCAAGAATCTCAGTACCTTGGCAGGTCTCGCATTCGCAGCGGGGCAGCCGGGGGAAACACCGAGTGATGCAGTGCTTACCGGCCTGGCGAGATCCGGCACAGAGGAAGTTCCAATAGCGACCCTAGCCTCCTTGAGGCGGTTGGTGTTTGAAGCGCAGCTCCTCATGACCGCGCAGGTGAAGATGCTGATCGAGCATCGTGCCGATGACCAAAAGGCGGAATTAGCACCCGCAGAAAGATCGGAGCGAATCCAGAAGCAGAGCGAGCGCCTGGCCGGTGTTGCACTCCGCAACGAGTCAGAATGCTCCTATGGGTCATATGATTTGGTCATGAAGATGGTCCAGGAGAACTGTGTCTCCTACTTGTCTCCAGCTAGGTTTCCGTCTCGGCAGGCCGAACTTCGTCTGGAGAAACCTCGAAAGGAGCTTGATGTGGTCAACTCAAAAATCACTTTGAAGGACCAGGCAGTCGATCTTCAATGCCAGCTTCACACGCCGCTGTGCCTGCATCATGCTCTTCATCGACGGGCACTTGCAATGGATCTCGTTGGGGTAGCCAGCTACAGTGTGAGCATGGAATTTCACGAGTACTTGATGTCACACCTTACCATGGAGCCACCGCCTGGCTATCATCAAGTCACACTGCATCAGGTTCTAGCAGCTGACCGAGCCGCTTGGTTGCGACTCGCGGAGAAACTTCCTAAAGGGCTTCGTGCTGGTCCCGATGGGAAACTCCCGCTGGATATCGAGCTCCCGAAATTGCAGGGCGACCCGAAAGTGGCTTTTCATCTCTTACCTCTGGGACCTTCTGCTTCATCATCCGGGAAGCGTTCGATGGATGGCGATCAGGGCCAGAACAACGATTCGAAGATCCAGAGGACTGGAGGCAAGGGTAAAGGGAAGGGCAAAACCAAAACCAAAGCCTTTCCTAAGTCTATGCCTGTGTCCCTCAAAGACAAGTGGTCGCGAACCAAACGCGGTGTTCCGATATGCTGGGCCTTCAACACGGAAGAGGGCTGTAGCTCAGCTCCAGCTGGAGGCAGATGCCCGAGGGGTGTCCACCTTTGCGCTGAACCTAACTGTCAAAAACCCCACTCGATCGTCAATCATGCAAAGGTTGCCAGTGGGTGAACTTTTCAGAACGCAGGTTGTGACTTGATTGAATCACTGGAGGTTTTCCTTAACCGGGCTAGGGCTCGGGTAACTGGTGTTTCGATCGAGGCACTCTTTGGAGTTGAAGTTTTTGCAGGGTCTGGTCGCTTGACTTGCGAGCTCCGCAGGCTGGGGCTTAATGATAGTATTGGTGTTGACAAGAATGTCGGCCGATGCTTGATCGCACCGGTGTTGCGTCTCGACCTTGGTGACGAGCAGGCGCGCGAGCTTGTCGTGCAAATGCTAGAAAATCCCAATTGTGCCTACGTTCATGTTTCTCCCCCTGCCTTGAACCAGAAACATCGCAGTTTGAAGCACCGTCATGGTGCCGATGCTTCGTGCTATTCAGCCTCGTGTAACTTGTTGTACGAGTTCTGCGGGAAGCTCTTTAGCATGTGCTGGTCCAAAGGCATTCTCTTTTCTTGCGAAAACCCTGGACAGTCAGAGCTGTGGCGAACGCCACAGTGGTGCAAGCATACGTTGTGTTTAAATTCCATTGATACTGTTTTTCACATGTGCATGTGGGGATCTCTCAGCCCTCGTTTCACACGCATTGTTCATTCTGTGCCTTCGCTAACGCAGCTGGGTGTTCGTTGTTGCGGTGTAAGCTCCAGCCACACGCATGAGTCCCGAAACGCGCTCCATGACTCCACATTCCCCCTAGATCTCAGTCGTGCGTGGGCAAATGCAATTGTGGAGCAACTTGTTGCTTTGGGCGCCCTGCCTCGTGCGCGCTCCTTGGATGAGTCTCGAGCTCCCCTACACCGTGAAGCCCAGGTGGCAGCGGCTTCACAGCCAACACGCAAGAAGGTGCCTCCTCTTGTTAGTGAATTTCGCTGCGTGGCGACAATTGACACGCCCAAGCCTTTTCTTGACACAGCTTCCAAGAAACTTGAGGGGCCAATTCCCATCCCTGCGGGTGCCAAGTGTGATACTACGTTGACTGTGTTACCGGCAGGCTCTCGCGTCATTCGCAGGCAGTTGCTGGGGGTGAGTTCGCCTGCTTTGAAGCTCGATGTAGGGTCGGAAACTAGCAATCCCACTAGCGGCCGTGTTGCTTCTTTTCCTGAAGTAAGCAAGCCCAAGCCTGATCGAGTGCAAGTGTGTTCTGAAGCCACTCATCCCGCAGAGGCTTTTGCTGCATCGTGCCTAAAGCTGGGGTATATCGACCCGGGAAAAATTTCCGAGTTCACTCAACTTCTTGAGTCGGAGCTTCCGGCCAGGGGGGATGGAGGTCAGCACGAATTTTCCTTCACGGTGGGATCCTTTGTTCATGGCGGTATTTATGGGCTTAGAACTTCTTCGGTTAACTTTCCGCTGACAACTCAGGTCCTTGCAAGGTTCATGCGCCAGCAGTGCCCAGACGCTGTTTTCACGAGCCTGGCTTTGATGAGGGACGTGCAAACAACATTACACATCGACACGAACAATTCATTACCCTACCTGAACACTGTGGCGAAGGTCACCAATTTCGAGGAAGGGGGTTTGTGGGTTCACAACGATCACGGCGACATGCCTTGCCCTGATGCAAATTTTGGGCAGCTGATGGGAACGAAGGTCGACTTCGAAAACGGAGTTATCAGGTTCGATTCGCATCTGAAGCATTGCACACTCCCGTGGGTCAAGGGGCCCCGTGTGGTTCTTATAGGGTTTGTCGTGAAGGGTCCCGAGTTGATGCCATCGGACTTAGTGAGTAACCTTGTTGCTTGTGAGTTCAACATGCCGGATGAACCCTTTGTGCAGCCTCTCCCCAACGAGGAACACTCCTCACCGGCAGGGCCCGAGGAGTCCCATTGGCATAGGGTTGTAGTAGGCATCCCATGGTTACCCGAAGAGTTCATCGGTAAAGCCCTGGAGGCTACGCACCCGAGGCACTTGATGACAGGCATCCCATCCGAACTAAAATCCACAATCGATCAGCTTGTAACCCTTAGCCCATTTGAGGTTGGAGCCGAGAGGACGGCCCAGCTTAGGAAGTGGGTTGCGAGGGTACAGGAGGTTGAGCCGATGGAAAAGTTGATCAAGCAGCGGATGAGCGAATCTTGTGCAAAAGTCCTTCGGAGTAAACGCTTGGTGGTCTTCAAAGAAATGCTTGAAGCCAGTGGTCACAAGGATGATTCGATAGTCGGCGACATTGCCGAAGGTTTCAAGCTTAGCGGTCCCATACCGCCATCTGGGGTTTACAGGTCAAAAAGAACTTCGGCGACCCTCACCACGGCGACGTTGAGAAGATCAGCACAGGTGCTTCGGAAAGGAATCATACACTCAACTAAGGGATCAGGCGACTTTGAGCTTGATTGTGCAACATTCGAAGCTACTCGTGATGAGCTTCATCGAGGGTGGCTTTTCGGACCTGTGCCAGAGAAGGACCTCCCTTCTGAGGCAGTGGTTACCCGTAGATTCGGCATACGTCAAGGAGGAAAGTGCAGACCCATCGACAATTACTTGGAATCAGGTGTCAACGCGACAACTAGCGCTGCGGACACCATCACTGTCCACTCGGCCGATGTGCTCGCTGCCGCCTTGTCATACCGCATCCACAAGCTCCGATCAAAGCGACTGCCAGCAAGCTTGTATTCCAGGTCGTGGGATCTTGCCAAAGCATACAAGAATCTTGCGCTCCACCCTGAATCAGTCCCTGATGCTTTCCTGGCCGTATGGAACCCACATACACATAAGACTGAGATCTATGGCCAGCTGGTGTTGCCATTTGGTGCCAGATCCAGCGTACATTCTTTTTGCAGAACTTCGCTGGGGATTTGGAACATAGGGGTGGTGTTGTTCCTCCTGCACTGGGGGGTATACTTCGACGACTTCTTGGGATCCGAAACACCCCACCTGTCCAAGCTGTTCGAACTCTGCGCAGACGGGTTGTTCCTGATATTGGGCTGGGCTACATCATCTGACAAAGCTTCGGTTTTTGATTCCATTTCGATTGTACTTGGCCTGAAGATCAATCTCTCCGAATCTGGAATCGGCTTCGTCTACTTTGAGAATACCGAGAAGAGGCGAGATGAGCTGGTGTCCACTCTCGGCGATGTCCTTTCTGCGGGGTTCCTTAGCCGCAAGGACGGCGAGCGACTACGTGGCAGGCTACAGTTCGCAGAGCAGCAGATTTCTGGCAAAAAGGCTGGATTGGCCTTTAAGGAACTCTCGAGGCATGTGACGAAAGGGGGCGGCAAGTTGGTACCCGAAACCATGGCCGCCTTGACCACCCTTAAAAACCACATTGCTTGTGCTCCAGCTCGCTGCATTGCGGATCGATCGTGCTTCACCTGGCACCTCTATGTCGACGCTTCATACGATGATTCGCGGGCTGGTATTGGTGGCATCTTGATCTCAGAGTCGGGGGCCTACATTGGCCACTTCAGTGAATTCCTCGACGATGCAGCTTTGACATCCTTGAATACAACTGGGAGCGAGAATCCGATCTTCGAGTTGGAGTGTTTCGCTATCTGGTGTGGCATTTCCGCTTGGGCACGCTTGCTTCGCCACTGCCATCTTATTGTATTCACTGACAACGAGGGAGCTTTGCACTCGATGATCAATGGTCGCAGCGAGAATGATTCTGGTGGCCGTATCGTTTCTGCTACGCATAACCTACTTGACGAAGGTTGCATTGCTCCGTGGTTTGAGCGTGTCAACACAGCTTCCAACATAGCTGATTTTCCTTCGCGGGGAGTCTCTAAAGAAGAGTGGGGAGCGAGAACTCCCATTGATTATGTGCGCCTCGCACGGGTGGCTGAAGCAGGGGGTGACGTGCCACCGTTCGAGGCTTTCAGCTCGGCGGTGTAATGTGTGTGTGGTGTGAGGTCCCACACGTGGGCTCAGTGGGGCACTGCCGTATTTGCGGCGTGCCAACTTAGTGAATTCATCACCCCTTGACTTCGAGTATCGTCGTAAAAGATTGCCCGAGCGCGAGTGTTTGCACCATATTCATATGCAAAGATATTTGATTGACTTCCCGGCGATTCAATATATACTTTTATGATTTCACATATTGATGTGAATATCTCCGTTTGCGATTTGATTGACATGCGCGGTTTTTGGGAACAAGAATAAGACAACTTTCAATCGTGATTGATTAGTCTTTATTCTTGCCCAAAAACCTTTTGGAAAATTTTGGGTGCGAAAATTTTCTGTCTGCATGTCAATCGTTGTTTCGCCATACACTTGTTCCCACGAAGCCTTCTTGGCTGAGGTGGGAGGTGGGAAACCCTAGCAACTTTCAAGGCCATATGGCTTGGTTTTGTTTTGCCCACCCGCCCTCCCTTGGGGGTGACGTGCCACCGTTCGAGGCTTTCAGCTCGGCGGTGTAATGTGTGTGTGGTGTGAGGTCCCACACGTGGGCTCAGTGGGGCACTGCCGTATTTGCGGCGTGCCAACTTAGTGAATTCATCACCCCTTGACTTCGAGTATCGTCGTAAAAGATTGCCCGAGCGCGAGTGTTTGCACCATATTCATATGCAAAGATATTTGATTGACTTCCCGGCGATTCAATATATACTTTTATGATTTCACATATTGATGTGAATATCTCCGTTTCGATTTGATTGACATGCGCGGTTTTTGGGAACAAGAATAACTCTCGCTTCTTCGGCTACATGATGCGCCCAGTGTACCCAGGACAGCAGCCGGTGACCCTGAGCCAGGTCGTGGACGCCGACAGAACGCTTTGGGTCTTGGTTGCGCAAGAGACTCGGGGCAAGGTCCTGACATCCGGGACTCCATTGCCGATTGATGCCGCTGTGGACGCCTTCAAGGACGCTCCAGACGTTGCTTTTGCCTTGATGCCCCGCACTAAGGGGTCAGTGCCTCCGCCTCCGAAGCCGTCTCCGACTGCTGGAGCTGAGGCGATGAGCCGTGCCAAGCGCCGCAGGCTTCAGAAGGCGGCCAAGTCCAAGCCGATCGCGGATTCAGCACAGCCCGGCAAGCCGTCGGCAGGAGGTTCGAAGGGAGGCGGCAAGGGCATTGACATACCACCGGGGGCGAAGACTCACGATGACCAAGGCAGGCCAATCTGCTTCCGTTACAATCGCAAGGCTTGTGACCAATCCAAAGAGAAGTGCCAGCGCGGCTATCACGTGTGTTGGTTCTGCCTGAAGAACCACGCAGGGGTAGACCACAAGGAGTGACTAGGGGCACAAGCCGTGCCTGGGCCCTCCGGCACCCAGGCCATAGCTTTTGGACCGGAAAAGTTTTCCGCAGTGGGGCATTCTCCCACCGACCTTCACTGCGCCGAAGTTCTTGCAAGTTCTTTCAGCTCTCCGCCTACGGCGAAGCAGCTCCTTTCACTTTTGGATGTGCTGCCACCTGAAGTACCTGCCCGCGGACGACCGGGCGATTTCTCGTGGACCACGGGATCGTGGTCGAAAGATGGTTGCTACGGCCTTCGCCGCCACAGCCACATGTTTCCGACGGTTACCTCTGCCCTGACGGCGTATGTCCGAAGCATCGCTCCCGAGCATACCTTTACAGCGGTGGCACTTTTTGCAGATCTCCAAACAGCGCCCCATCGTGATGTGAACAATGCCGTGGGGGCTCCTAACCTCTTGCTGCCGCTTACTGAGTTCCAGGAGGGTCAGGTCTGGCAATATCACGAAACGGGGCCTTCCTGGCAATGGGTCGAAGGCCGCCATCTTCCCGGCATGCTTTTGGATGTTTCCAGAGGCCCTTGTTATTTGGACTCCCAGGCCTTGCACTTCACACTTCCGTGGCGAGGCAAAAGGGTTCTCGTGGTGGCTTTCACGCCTCGCTGCGACGACCAAAACTTCGACTTCGCACAGCTTGTGGCGCTAGGCTTCAATGTGGGTCAGGCGGGCCCGTCCCCGCCTCAACCTTTACGACAACATCTCGAGCTCTTGGGCTTCAAAGTCCAGTTGCCACCGTGTGACCTACATGCAGTCAGCTTCTCCTGCGAAGCTTCCGAGGCCTTAGCAGTCGAGGCCTTTTGTGGTCGTGGGCGCTTGTCCGTGGCACTTCGTGATCAAGGCCTCAGTGTTCTTCCAGTTGATCACCGCGTTCGCTGCACTGATCTGCAAGTTCTTCGCCTTGACCTTCAGGATGATCATGATGCTTCCATCTTCTTGGAGATGCTCTCCACGGCTAATGTTTGCTTGGCTCACTTCGGGCCGCCTTGCGGCACCTCAAGCAAGGCCCGCGAGCTGCCGTTGCCTCCGGAGCTTTCGCATCTGCAGTCTTCCCCGCTGCGATCCTTGGCATCCCCCTTTGGTCTGGATGGACTTCGGCCGTCGCAAGCAGCTCGCGTCCATTCGGCCAACAAGCTCTATGTGCTCACCTTGGTCTCGATCTGGATCCTGCATGTGCGCGGCGCACTGGTCAGCTGCGAGAATCCTTCGTCTTCTTTGTTCTGGCGGGTGGCCGATCTCCTGGCACAAGATCTGCCGGACCCCGCGGCTTGGCAGGTGTTGGAGGATGTTGCGTTCCATGCTTGCATGTGGGGCTCCACTCGCAATAAGCGTACCACCTTTCGCGCAACCCCGGGCCTCTGCAGCGGCTTGCGGCGCGATTGCGATGGTTCTCATGAACATTTGTCGTGGACACCGACTGCAACACCTTCCGGTGTTGTCTTCCCTACATCAGGCGAAGCCGAGTACACCAAGGAGCTGGCGGCTGCGTATGCCGCCTTTTCTCTCCGTGCTCTTCAACTTCGAGGACTTCGCACAGAACGCTCTCATGTGGGCCCCGGAGTCCTTCGGCCTCGGGATCTGCGTTCCTTCACTCGTAAGAGGGTGCCACCGCTTCTTGCAGAGTATTGGCTTGTGGCTCCCCGCGACTGCGTACCACCAGAATGGCCTCAACGGCCCCTTCCAAAGCATGTCCTTTTTCCGAAAACGGGGGACGAGGTCATCACAGTATCTTCGGTCGCTGAAGTTCGGGCTTTGGAAGCGACTAATGCTGTCAAACCGTCAACCTTGGTGGCTCTTAAGGCATTGGCGGCGACTGGCGCCGAACCAATGGTTGGGGTGCTTCGACGACCCCAACAAACCGTGCTGGCTACCAGGTGCTTGTCCCACCCGCTTGAGCTGAATCTTCCTTTGCCGGACATCCTTGTGAAGGCCGTCGTGAACGTCCTCAGAGTAGGACCTCGGGGCATTGCTTTCCATCGTGCTACGGTCTTGCAGAAGCTGCTGGTCAGGGCGGAGGCGCTCAAAGATCGTGAACGCGAGCTTCATTGTGGCTTGCATCCGGATCTTCGTAAAGTTCTTGCGGGGAAAAACACCCTATTGTGGGAGCAGCTTCTGAGGGAGTCTCACTTTCCCGATCTGGGCCTTGTCGATGAGGTAAGGGGAGGCTTTGAACTCGTGGGTCCGGCGAACTGCTTTGGAGCCTTCCCCATGGCTTACAAGCCGCCGCAGCAGTCAGTGGAGAAGCTCATGCAGCAAGCCGTGTGGCGCCGGAAGAACACCATCTCCAAGTGCAAGCCGACTGGCGATACGGCTGCAGACGACGAGCTGTGGTCGCAAACTCTTGGTGAGGTCGAGCAGGGCTGGATCGATGGTCCCTATTGGGCTGAGAGCGAAGTCAGTGAGAGGCTCGGCAGCGCCGAGTGGATGTGCACCAGGAGATTCCCCATCGTCCAGGGGCCGAAGGTTCGCATCATAGATGACTGCCTTCAGAGCGGTCTGAACTCGGCTTATGCGGCATACAACAAGCTCAGGTTGATGGACGCTGATGCGTTTATCTCCCTGGTTCTCTTGCTTATCCGATGCTCGCACCAGCCCGGCAGCATGATTCAGCTCGATTCAGGGGAACAACTTGTGGTGAAGAGACACCCCGAATGGGGCGACGGCCTGGATCTTCTCGGCAAGACTTTGGATCTCTCCGCAGCTTACAAACAACTGGGCTGCCGGCCCGATACAAAGTTTAATCGAGTGTTAGTCGCTTGGAGTCCAGAACGCCGTGCGCCGGCGTTCTTTGTGTCTACTGCCCTGATGTTTGGAGCGTCATCGGCAGTCTTTTCCTTTAACCGCTGCTCGGCATCCCTGTGGCACCTGGCAGTGACGATGGGTTCAGTCTGCTGCACTGTGTACTTCGATGACTTTCCTTGTGCGGAACCATCGGCCTCGTCGGGCTCAGCGCAGGACTTCATGGTGGGGCTTCTGTCCACTTGCTTGGGGTGGAACGTCGCTCTGCAACCTAAGAAAAACCAGCCTTTCTCTCAGACCTTCACCTTGCTGGGCATTGAGCTTTCATTGAAGACGGCGGACCAGGGCATCCTGAAGGTGCGCAACAAGCCGGACCGCGTCTTGGAGCTGCGTGCTGAACTTGACCGGCTTTTGTCACAGGGCTACATGAAGAGGTCTGAGGCGTCTTCCTTGCATGGACGCTTGAACTTCGCTCAGGGACAGCTTCACGGTTGTCCCATCAAGCCGGCGCTCAAGTTCTTGTCACAAGTGGCGGCCAACGGCTGGGATGATGCCCTGGCCGACGATTTCAAACTTGTGATTGGCTACATCGCAGCTTGCTTCGCTACGGACTCCCCGAGGGTGATACATGCTCTTGATTCGCGGTATGCCATCAAGCTCTTTACAGATGGCGCATGGGACAACAGAATCGCTGGTGCGGGGGCTGTTCTCCAGTACGCCTTGGACCAGGGACCGAAAGTGGCGGAGGTGGTCGTTCCAGAATGCCTTATCGAGCACTGGGGCAGGCATGGCGGCACTCAGCTCATCTCGCAGCTGGAGCTTTTTCCCGTGTTGGTGTCACTGGTCAGCTGGGGCCCCCAGTTGGCGGGCAGGCGCATCCTGGTTTTCATCGACAACAACGGCGTGCGCGACTCCTTGATCAAGGGCTCTTCTCCTCTTCCCGACCACTTCGTCATGCTTTCGATGATTGCCTGGGTGGCTCGGCGGTATCACTTCACGCTGTGGTTCACTCGTGTGGCATCAGAATCTAACCCTGCAGACAAGCCGTCTAGATCGCAAGCGCGGGAGGCTGCTGAGGAGCTCGGTGGATCCCTTGAGCTTCCCTTGACCTTGGACGACGTTCTTGTGAAAGGATTGCTTAGCAAGCGGTCCTTCATGGATATGTGCCAGGGGTCAATGCCGTTCGGTGATGGGGAAAATATGGGAGAGAGACTGTGGCAGTGATCGGTATGCCTTCGTGCGACCATCATGTACCGCCTTCGTGCGGGTGTGTGTGCATTCGCTACCTTTGGTCTCTTGTGATTCCCGTCGCGTGGCATTCGAAGTTGGGCAGCAGCATCATCCCCTTTTGCGATCAAAATGAAGACGGTCCGAGTGATTGAGGCAATTTGATATGCTTTGAAAATATTCGATGTCCCATATATCAATTGGGAAATACTGACTTGATTGCGAAGTAGATTGAACCACGACCTTCGCGATGCGTCTATGCGCAAGTGCATCATGGTGTATGTAGTGTTGGTGTTGGGGTTCAAGAGTAAGCCAACAAGACGGATAACCTCAACTTGTTGACGGTCCTGTCTTGTTTCGGCTTACCTCCTTGAACCCCCCCCTCTGTGTGTGTGTGTGTGGGTGGATGGGCACTTGGTGCGTCGACAGTGACAAAACAAAACATTACGAGGAATCCCTCTATTTGTAGTTACGATAAAGAAGGAATTTATGTTTTATGTTTTCTTTTCATGTTTTCCTTTTCACAGTTCCATGTTTGCTTTTACGTACACTCTGGAATGCAGAAGATTGTTGCAAAACATGGGCAGCATTGTGCTCAAGGAGCACAAAATTTTGTTTCACCCGCCCGCCCTCCCGGGAGAGAGACTGTGGCAGTGATCGGTATGCCTTCGTGCGACCATCATGTACCGCCTTCGTGCGGGTGTGTGTGCATTCGCTACCTTTGGTCTCTTGTGATTCCCGTCGCGTGGCATTCGAAGTTGGGCAGCAGCATCATCCCCTTTTGCGATCAAAATGAAGACGGTCCGAGTGATTGAGGCAATTTGATATGCTTTGAAAATATTCGATGTCCCATATATCAATTGGGAAATACTGACTTGATTGCGAAGTAGATTGAACCACGACCTTCGCGATGCGTCTATGCGCAAGTGCATCATGGTGTATGTAGTGTTGGTGTTGGGGTTCAAGAGTAAGCCAACAAGACTGCTTTGCCTTTCTGCAAGGTGTGCGTGTGGGTGAAGCCCAGCACCCGGGCCCGCCAGGCCCCCCGTCTGTGCTTGCCTGGAACTGGCATTTGGGGTTCAGGGTCGATGCGACTTCACACTTGGGCCCTGCCCCCGTTGTGCTTGCGAGCCGAGGTGATGAACCCCATACCCCTCTCTCATCTAGGGTTCTAGGCCCTCTGCGATGCCAGCAGCCGGCCCCGGCGCCGCTAGGTCCTCTAAGGGTTGAGGGTGCACCTAGGCGTTGCGTGGCTTGGTGCTCTGCCTCCACGCCGTGTGCCAATCACTGCTGTGTGTCCGTTGGCATGCCGATTGCGGGCGGAGCGTTGTGGTGTCAGGCTGCTCTGCCTCTCCCTTGGGGTCGAGACCCTCTGTGGACCCCATGGCCAGCCTTCTGCTTGGCAGGCCCCTTGGCCCTTGAGTGGGAGCCGATGTTTTGTGTGTGCCACGACTGGAAAAGGGGTTGCCGCCTGGGCGAGGCCTCTCACCCTGGGCCTGGTTTCAATCTCGACCTTGGCAATCTTGGGGATAGCCTTGGCGATAGCATCATGAAGTCGATCAAGGAGCAGATCCAAAAGGCAGTCGATGAGGCCGTCCAGCAGGCCCTGGCATCCCTCAACCTCGGCCGAGGCCTACCTGTTGCCCGGCCTTCGGTGGATCCGGCTCCGCAGCTTGAGCCAAAGAGCAGGCGCAAGAGGAAGCGCAAGGCCAAGCAGGCCGTGAGCAATCCTGCGGGCAAGCCCGACACCTCAGGCAGCGAGCGTGCCAATGTGCGGCAGGTTGATGCCAGTGGCCACCAGAGCGCAGCTAAAGGCAAAGGCAAGTCGGAAGACAGGCCCGGCACGGCTAAGGCGGCAGCGCGGTGGCCCAGGCGACTCAGGTCAACGCCGGGGCAAAGGCAAGGGCGGCCTTGGTGAGGCAGGCGGGCAGGATGCCGGCGATGGCTGGAAGGTCGTCCAGCGCAAGGCCCCGGAAGGTGCTTTCACGCTTCGGAAATCCGACTGGGATTCTCCGGTTGTCGAGTATGCTGCTCTTGCTGAGTTCATTGACCGGGCTGATGCCAGCAAGGTTCTCGAGGTGGTGGTCTTTGTCTCGGCCGACCAGGTCACGCTTGCTACGAACATCCTGAGGGGGAGCGGGCGTAGCTTCAAGGCCCTGCTTGTGTTCCTCTCCAAGGATGCTGATGCTCAGCGAATCCCGGGCACCATCGGGGATCGCCTGGTCTTCAGGACTGCCCAGGTCCAGAAACTCACGTCTGCAGGTGCCAGTGGCCATGCTCCGCAACCCTCCGGCCTGAGCCAAACGCCCATCAAGATCAAACCCACTGAAAGTGCAGTCGTCTACTTCAAAGTGCCAAAGCAGTTCGCCTCTGCCGACACTTGGAAGGCTTTTGGGGGCAATGCCTCCAAGGCTGCCGTTGACTGGGTCGCGGCCCAAAGGATCAAGGTGCTTGATACTTTTGCCTGGGTCCTCGAAAAGCAGCGCAATGACACCCATGAGCAGTACTTCGGCATTGTCCGCATTCCGAAGGCAGACGTCGAGGCCATCCTGGCCCACTCTGGCAAGGACGGTGTCTTTGTGGATGCCGCTCGCAGCTCGGGGCCCCGGGCGAAGCTTCAATGGATCGATAAGCTTCCGGGTGAGAAGGCGGACGCTTACTTTGAACGTGCCCTGCGCCAGGCTCCCAGTCTGGGCTTGATCGCCAATGGGGGGCGGCTGGCGTGGCGTAGCACCATGTCGGCTGGCGAAGCAACGGTGCGCATCTGGCACATTGATGGCGTGCCCCATGAGTGGGATGCGGACGCTGTTGGCCAGCTCTTGGCCACACGCTTCACTGAGTACACCATCCTGTCGCATCGGCGCACCCGCCTTGGATCCTGCTTTCGTTTTCGCGGGCAGCCTGGGACTGCTGACGCGGACTTGGTGCCGTTTGTCGTTGAGCACCAGGCGAAGTCCCTCTCCTTGTGGGCCACGCTGGCACCGTGTCGTCTCTAAGAAGCAGAAGCCCCTTGCTACGAAGGCCGTCCCGGTTGTCGCCCTTGAAAAGCCTGTTGTTGCCACCGTAAAACCCCCCACGGGGGAGCTTGCCACGGGCGAGGACGGCAAGGAAGTGCCCCAGCAGAAGCGTGTCAAGCAGGAGGTGCGCTCCAGACCTAGTGACCTCCAGCACAAACCCACTCCTCGTGATGGTGCATGCGTGCTGCACGCCATGAGCCTTGGCCTCAAGTGGCTAGGGGACCCTCGGCCCAACCACCCGCGCAAATGGTCGAGCACATGCGCCGACACGTTGCCCAATACGAAAAGGAATGGGATGGCAAGGGGCCGGATGGCGATCAGGTTCAGGACCGGGGCTTCTCGGCCTACCTCACTCTCATGGAGAAGGAGGGGTCGTACTGCTCGGACGTGGAGCTGCGGGCCCTAGGCCGTGTGCTGGACATCAAGATCGTCGTGCTGCCGGCGGGCCTCCACTTCTCTCCCTATGCGTTCCATGACAAAGCTGCCAGGATGCTGGTGTTGTGGTATGAAGATAATCATGTGGATCTCATGCTCCCGCCTGAGGGTCACAAGAAGTATCCAACTGAGTATGGTCAGATCAGAGCTGGACCCGTCTTCGGCCTGCGTGCGGGTGGCCATGGACCCCCGTCGGTTTTCACGGCCTCCTCTGCTACCAATGTTCGGTCCAGGACTTCCTCCCAGTGGACCTCAGTTGTGGATGGCGAAGGGGCAAAATCCCAGGCTCGGCCGGCGTCCGTCTGGACCACCTCGGGGCCTGAGCGCACCTCCGGGCGTGATGCGCAGAGGCCCTCGATCGGCACCCGGCCTTCTCTCCTAGCAAGGCGGCCCAGGCCACAGGCTCCACAGGCAAAGTCTTCAGGCAGCCGTTTGGCGTCGCAGGCACAGGCACAGGCCCCATCCCTGCCCTGCTCGGCAGGCACCAGGTGCAAGGCGAAGGCATCGCACACTTCTCAGGTTCAGCCCAAGGGCAAGCCTCAGACGAGGCCATCACTGGCAACGGCCCCGGCAAGGTCCTCAGGTACCAAGCGCAAGGCGGCTGCGCTGTGTGCGTCGTCTGTCTTCACCTGCTCTTCTGTTGGCGCAGTTGAGGCTTTCGATGAGTCCGAGTTCGAGCGGGCTCGTGTGCCACCTCGGCGTTGCCCTTGGCTGGCCCACGCCACGGCACCGGCTGACCTCACTTTCCGGTGCAACTTGTGTCCTTACAAGCGCAAGGCCACATGTAACCATCAGTACTACCATATCCGTCACAACCACTACCAGCGTGCCCATGAAGGGCAGGGCTTGCAACCGGATATCGGCCGTCCCAGGCTCACGCGGGTCTGTGGCCCGAGGGCTCAGTTCATCTGGTGCTGCCCTCTGTGCAACCAGGGCATTACGCATGAGACTCGGAATGGCCTTTCGCGATTCTCCTTCTGTGCCCTGCGAAACCAGCACCGTGCACAGGCCCACTCTGAGGTCTCCAAGGCTGAATGGAAGCGACTTGCGGCACTCCCGCAAACCGGCCCTAAGGATCGCCAGGCGCATGCCAAAGGGTGCCGCCAGCGCAACCTCACCAAGGCTGTGTTTGCGCAAGTCAGGACCCCTCGCTTTGGGGATCAGATGCAGATCTTTGTGTGGCCTCGAGCCAGGTGCGAAAAACGCAGCACCCGGGTCAAGCATGTCCTCCTTGAGCATGGTTGGAAGTGCCTTCGGTGTGGCGAGTGCACCAGGGACCTGGCGGCCGCCAAACAGCATAGTGTGGGCCGGTGTAGGTCGCAGAGCAACACCCAGAAGCGGATCCAGAAACTTGAGGCCATCGAGACGTGGGCCCGGTGTGCTGGCGGTGACCCCGACTTCTCTGGGCGGCCTTTAGCAGGGAATGAGGGAATGAGTGGGGCACGGCGCCAGCCCCGATCTTAGCACTGGGGCACTGCTTGGATGCGAAAGACATCGGCGACAACTCGCACTTCCTAGCACCGGGCACCGCTGCGAGGCCAAACCAACGGCAACAAATCATACTTCTTAGCACTGGGGCACCACTTAGAGGCCAAAAAACGGAAACAAATCGCACCCATGTACAAGTCCAACGGATTTAAAATCCGTTGGACTTGAATTTGACGAGGTTCTAAACTGCGAAAAGACCCGCTGATGCACATGATGCTCGGCCCCAAGTCCAGCGGATTTAAAGTCCGTTGGACTTGCGTCTGGGAGGGATTTAGCTGGAATTGAAGCCCGAAAAAGGCCACTGATGAAGGTCTTTCCACTCACATGTTACTATTTAATTGAGTACTAGTAGCAGTCGTCGTCGTGGTAGTGGTAGGCCTGGTGGCGGTAGTCGTGGTAGCGGTAGTGGTAGTGGAAGTGGTAGGGGTAGTGGTAATGGTAGCGGTAGCGGTAGGGGCAGTTCTGGCGGTAGTGGTATAGTGGTAGCGGTAGTGGTAGTGGTAGTGCAGTTGCAGCAGTAGTGGGAGTAGTAGCAGTAGTAGCTGTAGCGGCAGTAATTAGTAGAAAGGGTAGTAGTAGCAGTAGCAACAGCAGCGCCACAGCCCGGCTTTGTTATGCAGATTTTTTGCTTCACTTGGCGGGTTTGGGTGGTATACGCGGGAGTTTGAGCGGTGGGGTGCGATTCAGGCTTCAGGCTACTTGGAGGATCATGGGGCTTAGTAACTTGGGCTATAAATAAGGTAGCTATACTTATAGCTCCAACTAGGCTACGTATAACCTGACTAAGTCCCATGATCCTCCGAGTAGGGGTTGAGGTCGCAGGCAGCGCGAGAAATTCCGTTGGCCTGGTCTTCCTCCAGCGGTTCCTCTCTGGGCGGGCGGGTTTGGCGAGCAGCACGCGACGACCCGCCGCTTGCTCGGAGACCCCAAACCGGGGAGGCCAGGCCAACGGAACGTTCAACGGCACCCGACCCTCACCCCAGCCCTAACCCTAACCCTGGCATATGGGGCCCTGCGGAAGGCTGGGGGTGTGGCAGCGGCGGTGGGGAGGAAGGAAGGAAGACCCTTGCAATGAACACGAAGGATACGATATGTGCGTGCGTGCAAACGAACCGGGGGAGCATCATACCCACCCCAAAAGAGAATTTCCACGCCTACCTAATCGAGGCGAATTTCACACCCACCACAAAAGAATTTCCACATCCACTTAAGCGACATCCTTACCAAATGTGTCGCCCGCTTCGCCCAAGGATTTTGCTGACCGAAACCCTTGTCTCAACATTGTCCAGGGCGGGCTGCGCTGTACTAAGAGAGAAGTTTGCTGTAGAGGCCAAGGCCCCTTGCGAGAGGCGTCTCGTGACCGAAACCTTCTTCTTAGTACAGTCCAGGGCGCCCTGGGTTGTACCAACATAGGGTTCTGCCGACCGAAGCCTTTCTTAGTACAGTCCAGGGCGCCCTGGGTTGTACTAACATATAGTTCTGCCGACCGAAGCCTTTCTTAGTCCAGGGCGCCCTGGGTTGTACTAAGATAGGGCTCTGCCGACCGAAGCCTTTCTTGGTACTCGTACAGTCCAGGGCGCCCTGGGTTGTACTAAGATAGGGTTCTGCCGACCGACGCTTTTCTTAGTACAGTCCGGGGCGCCCTGGGATGTACTAAGATAGGGTTCTGCCGACCGAAGCATTTCTTAGTACAGTCCAGGGCGCCCTGGGTTGTACTAAGATAGGGTTCTGCCGACCGAAGCCTTTCTTAGTACAGTGCAGGGCGCCCTGGGTTGTACTAAGATAGGGTTCTGCCGACCGAAGCCTTTCTTAGTACAGTCCAGGGCGCCCTGGGATGTACTAAGATAGGGTTCTGCCGACCGAAACCTTTCTTAGTACAGTCCAGGGCGCCCTGGGTTGTACTAAGATAGGGTTCCGCCGACCGAAACCTGTCTTAGTACAGTCCAGGGCGCCCTGTGTTGTACTAAGATAGGGTTCTGCCGACCGAAACCTTTCTTAGTACAGTCCAGGGCGCCCTGGACTGTAGTAAGAGAAGGGTACAGCCGGCCCGAAGGTCACGGTACGGATGATGGTGGTCAGGCATTCCTTGGGAGCAGGACAGCTCGCAAGCCCCGGACTGTACTAAGACAGGGGTACCGGTACCCTGACCGTAGTACAGTCCAGGGCGCCCTGGACTGTACTAAAAAGGGTTTCGGTCGGCGGAACCCTATCTTGCTACAACCCAGGGCGCCCTGAACTGTACTAAGAAAGGTTTCGGTCGGCAAAACCGTATCTTAGTACAATCCAGGGTGCCCTGGACTGTACTAAGAAAGGTTTCGGTCGGCAGAACCCTCCCTTAGTACAACCCAGAGCGCCCCGGACTGTACTAAGACAGTACTACGGTCAGGGTACCGGTACCCCTGTCTTAGTACAGTCCGGGCCTTCTGCGGCACTCTGTTTTCACTCACGCACGGGCCTGACCAGACACAACCCTATCTTAGAACAACCCAGGGCGCCCTGGACTGTACTAAGAAAGGTTTCGGTCGGCAGAACCCTCCCTTAGTACAACCCCGGGCGCCCCGGACTGTACTAAGACAGGGGTACCGATACCCTGACCGTAGTACAGTCCAGGGCGCCCTGGACTGTACTAAGAAGGGTTTCGGTCGGCGGAACCCTATCTTAGTGCAACCCAGGGCGCCCTGAACTGTACTAAGAAAAGTTTCGGTCGGCAAAACCGTATCTTAGTACAATCTAGGGCGCCCTGGACTGTACTAAGAAAGTTTTCGGTCGGCAGAACCCTCCCTTAGTACAACCCAGGGCGCCCCGGACTGTACTAAGACAGGGGTACCGGTACCCTGACCGTAGTACAGTCCAGGGCGCCCTGGACTGTACTAAGAAGGGTTTCGGTCAGCGGAACCCTATCTTAGTACAACCCAGGGCGCCCTGGACTGTACTAAGAAAGGTTTCGGTCAGAACCCTCCCTTAGTACAACCCAGGGCGCCTCGGACTGTACTAAAACAGGGGTACCGGTACCCTGACCGTAGTACAGTCCAGGGCGCCCTGGACTGTACTAAGAAGGGTTTCGGTCGGCGGAACCCTATTTTAGTACAACCCAGGGCGCCCTGAACTGTACTAAGAAAAGTTTCGGTCGGCAAAACCGTATCTTAGTATAATCCAGGGCGCCCTGGACTGTACTAAGAAAGGTTTCGGTCGGCAGAACCCTCCCTTAGTACAACCCAGGGCGCCCTGGACTGTACTAAGACAGGGGTACCGGTACCCTGACCGTAGTACAGGGCGCCCTGGACTGTACTGAGAAAGGTTTCGGTCGGCAGAACCCTATCTTAGTACAACCCAGGGCGCCCTGGACTGTACTGAGAAAGGTTTCGGTCGGCAGAACCCTATCTTAGTACAACCCAGGGCGCCCTGGACTGTACTAAGACAGGGGTACCGGTACCCTGACTGTAGTACAGTCCAGGGCGCCCTGGACTGTACTAAGAAAGGTTTCGGTCGGCAGAACCCTATCTGAGTACAACCCAGGGCGCCCTGGACTGTACTAAGAAAGGTTTCGGTCGGCAGAACCCTATCCTAAGAAAGGTTTCGGTCGGCAGAACCCTATCTTAGTACAACCCAGGGCGCCCTGGACTGTACCAAGAAGAAGGTTTCAGTCACGAGACGCCCCTGTTAGGGCGTTCTGGCCTCCAGTGTTGAAACAAGGGTTTCGGTCAGCAAAATCCTTGGGCGAAGCGGGCGACATGTGGAAATTCTTTTTTGGTGGGTGTGGAAATTCGCGTCGCCTAGGTAGGCGTGGAAATTCTTTTTTGCTAGGTGGGTATATGATGCTCCCCCGGTTCGTTCGCACGCACGCACATAGTGTATCATTGCAAAAGTTTTCCTTCCTTCCCACTTCCTTCCTCCCCACCGCCACTGCCACACCCCTAGCCACCCCACGGCCCCATATGCCACCTCCCCTCTCCCCTTTCTCTTTTCGGCAGTGCCCGGTTTGGGGTCTCCGAGCAAGCGGCGGGTCGTCGCGAGTGCTGCTCGCCAAAGCCGCCCCCCCTAGAGGAACCGCTGGAGGAAGGCCAGGCCAACGGAGTTTCTCGTCGTGCTGCCTGCGACCTCAACCCCTACTTGGAGGACCACGGGACTTAGTAAGGTTATAAGTACCCTAGTTGGAGTTATAAGTATAGTTACCTTATTTATAGCCGCCAAATTACTAAGCCCCATGATCCTCCAAGTAGCCTGACGCCTGAATCCCACCCCAACGCTCAAACTCCCGCGTATACCACCCAAACCCGCCAAGCGAAGCAAGACACCTGCATAACAAGGCCGGGCTGTGGCGCTGCTGTTGCTACTGCTACTACTACCCTTTCTACTCCTGCCGCTACAGCTACTACTGCTACTACTCCCACTACTGCTGCAACTGCACTACCACTACCGCTACCACTGCCACTGCCATTCCACTACCCCTACCACTGCCACTACCACTACCGCTACCACGACTACCGCCACCAGGCCTACCACTACCACGACGACGACTGCTACTTAGTACTCAATTAAATAGTAACATGTGAGTGGAAAGACCTTCATCAGTGGCCTTTTTCGGGCTTCAATTCCAGCTAAATCCCTCCCAGACGCAAGTCCAACGGACTTTAAATCCGCTGGACTTGTGTTTGGGAGGGCAGGGGCCGAGCATCATGTGCATCAGCAGGTCTTTTGGGGGTTTCAAACCTCCTGTGTGCCGACTTCCTTCAGTCGTGTGGGGCTGACCTCTTGTCTCTCCAGGAGGCTGACATCAACCCTTTGTCGGCTCAGGGCTTTGGTGAGCGATGGCGCGCCCACGGCTATCGGGCTGTCCTTAGCGACCTTGATGCTGCCAAGGGTGTGCACCGAGTGGCCCTGATTGCCTCTCTCCCCGTGCATCGTGTGAACCTCAAGCTTCCCCCGCACGTGGCTGCGCGATGCGCTGTAGGAGCCTTTGAAATGCAGACTGCAGGCAGCAAGTGCATCACTCTGGTGGTGGCTTTCTATGGCTTCCCTGGCCAGGCAGATGCCACGGCCCAGGCTTTAGGTGAGGTCAGGCGTGCAGCCGCGATCTTCGGCGGCCCTACATTTTGCTGGGCGACTTCAATGTTGACCAGTCTGAGCAAGCTGTGGTGCAGCTCCTGTGTGACGGTGAGCTTCGGTCCTTGGACGAAGCGGATTGGACCCAAGCTGGCCCAACAAATCCCACGCGCACCCGGCGCATCGATTTCGGCCTGGCCCACTGGTCCATCATCGCGTCGGCGGTCAGGCAGTTCGAGCGCCCGAACCTCTCGGACCATGCGTGCATCTTTTATGAGACGCGGTGCCTAAGCCGTGCCAACAGCTTCTCCATGCCAAAGTTCCGTGAGCTCCCTGCCACGGCCCCCGAAGACATTCTGTCTAACTTTGGTGGGGTCTGGGATGCCGCACACTTTGAGAATTCTATTGCTAGTGGTGCGCCTGGGCTTTCTTGTCGGACGTGGCAGAGCGCACGCTGGGCGCCACTTCCCTCTTCGATGCCTCTGGTGCCCGAAGGAGTGACCACTGGCTCCCTTGTGCCCGCCACGAGTCCCACCACCGCGTCGGCCCCCAGGGTCATGAGTCCCAATCCCTGCGATCGTCGCGCAAGTTACTTGGGCAGTTGCACCAACTGCGGCAACAGCCCCACTGTCAGCAGCTGTGGCGTGCGGTGGGCCGCCGGGCCGGGGCCCTGCGCACTACCTTCCCCGATATTCCCGTGATACATGCTGCCAACCTTGCAGGTGCAATCCAGGTGATCTCTAACTTGCATGGCGAGCTCCAGCAGCAGGAGACGGAAGCCAGAGTGCACAGGTGGCGCCGCCGTGTCGAGGAGGACCCTGGCCGTGCCCTCGCATGGGTTAAGCGCAAGGCTGACCACCACTTGGCCATGGAGCAATCCCCTCAGGCCCCTTGCTGGCATCCCTTCTTCTGTCCACCCGGCCTCTATTGTCGCTGAGCACGGCAAAGTTTGGCTGAAGCACTGGACTCCGGCCTCTCCCGTCAATTTCGATGCCGTGCAGCGCATCCTTGACCGCGTTCCGGGCGGGCCGCAATCGGACATTGTGCTCCAGGTCGAGGCTGAGGCTTTGATCCGTGCCACTAAGGCCATGCGGGGGAAAGCGATGGGCCCTGACCGTTGGTCAGCGGAGCTTCTGCTCCGCCTCCCCGAGCAGTGGTGGCGGGCGGCGGCCACTTTGTGGAATGCAGTGCTCACCAAGCAGTACGTCCCTCGACTCTGGCGCCGGGCATTGATTGCCCTGGTGCCGAAGCGCCTCCATGGATGAATACCGCCCGATTGCCTTATGCCCTGTCATCTGGAGGGCGGGGGCCCACTGCATCTCTCGCAACTTGTTGCCGTGGATGGACACATGGCTGGGCCACCACACCTTGGGCGGGGCCCCGTGTCGCGGCCCGGGCGACGCGCATGCCCGCCTTTTCCATGCGTGGCAGAGTGGATGCAAAGTCTTCTGCCAACAGGACCTCACGCGGTTCTTCGACTCGCTTGATGTCAGGGCGGTGGGTATGGTGCTGCGGCACCTCGGTGCTCCTGTTGGCCTGGCTGAACTCTTAGCCTCCTTTTACCAGGAAGCCTCCAGGCTCTTTCTGCATGAGGGCCGTTCCAGCAGTGCATGGGGCGACCCCGCGCGGGGCTTGGCACAGGGATGCCCACTATCCCCAATGGCTGCGGTCGCAATTGGCCACATCTGGGCCATGTGGGTTCAGTCTTTCGCCGAGGGACGCACTGACTGCCTCATCTTTATCGACGACCGCGTGTTGTGGCCGTCCCGCACGTGTGTGGACCCGCTTGGGGCAATGGATGTTGCACTGAGGGCCTCTGACTCCTTCGACCAAGCCTTCGGTTTCCAGTGCCGTGCCAGCAAGTGTGCTGTTGTATGTCCCCCCGATGTCGGGACTTTTGATCAGTGGGCTGGAGCCAGGAACTACCCACGTGTGACTACCTTAAAGGTGCTGGGCATCACTCTTGACATGCAGGAGGGTGCCCTGGGCCTCCTTAAGTTTAGCCCGCGCCTGCTCCTGCACCGCCTTCGGTTCCTCAAGCTCCTAGGGGGGAGGTTCCCCAACTCCGTCGCATCGTGCTGCAGCTGGTCCACTCAGCCATGTTCTGGGCTGGTGGTGTGGCTTGTCCTGATCGCGATTGCCTGCGCGACGTTTGGAATTCCACGTGTGCAGTCCTGCAGAGGCACGCCACTCCTAAAGTCTTGCTGTGTGCCTCCTTTGGCTGGATGTTGGACCCTGCCTGGGCGGCTGATTGGGCATCCTTGCGAGCTGCCTGGCGCTTCAAAGCCCGACCCCCAGCATGGCTCGATACGGCCGGACTCGATGTTGCTTGTGGTGACTGGCGTCGTTTCCTCCCTGGCGCGGCGGCGGTGGTGCAGCGGTTGGGCTGGCAGGTCCAAGGCAATGGCGCCATCCTGGCACGGCTCGACGATTCGGGCACCTTCCGGCTGGGAATCCTTTGATGTGGTCAAGCGCTGGCTTGTGGACCACTACAAGTGGCAGGGCGTGCATTCGTGTGGGCGGATCCGCAATCGTGGCCATCGCGATGATGCAACGTTGGCCCGTGGTCTCAGCCTGGGGGCCCCGCTTCGCAGTGCTCGGTTTGCGCTAGAAGGTCACCGCCTTGCAGTCGCGGCTGAACCTACTCGCGAGGTTCGCCTTGCTGCGCTGGGTTCGGGCGGCTCCATTTGGTACCACTGCAAAAGGTTGGACGTGAGCTCACCTGACACTACTGCGTGTGTCTGTGGCCTTTTGCAGCCCAGCCGGGCACATCTCACTTGGTGTTGCACCTCCACGACAGAGCTACGGCAAAGCCTCGCACTTCCCTCCACCCGTGCTGGTGAACGGCTTTTCGCAGCTGAGATTTCTGAGTACCCTGCGGCCCCTGCGGCCTCGGACTTTGAAGACCTACTTCAGCGCATGGTGACGCATCTTCGCAGCTTCGCCAAAGTGGATGAGCGCCTGCTCATTGCGACCGATGGCAGTACCAAGTTCGACGTCGGCGGCTGCGCCGTGGTTTTCGGAAGCGGTGATGGCACCTTCGTTTTCGGTGATGCCTGCGAGGATCAATCGGCTTTTCGCTGTGAGCTCCTCACCTTGACGACCCTCTTTGAGGCGATCTCTTATGCGCATTTGGATCCTGGGTGTCAGATTGGCATCTTGGTGGATTGCAATTCCGCTCTACAGGCTGTGTCTGACCCTGGTGTGTGCTCCATGCCTCTCCTGGCCCACAAGGCTGCGAGGCTGTTGCGTGACGTGTGTGCTGGAGGACTGGACCTGCGGCTCTCGTGGACCCCTGCACATGGTCGGCGGCCCAACTGGACTGCTCCCTGGGGCCTGACGGCCGCCCGCTGCAGGGACCTCAACGAACGGGCCGATGCGGCTGCCAACAGCATTGCACCGGGCTCGTGGATCGGGCAGGGTGAGCTGGCATGCAGAGCTTCATCGTGCAGCGCTTTGGGAGCGGGGCCATCTTGGCTTCTGCTGGTGCCTCCAATGTCTTGGCGCAGCACCTTCGTGCGGGGCGGCCGGCCCGTGGTGCTCAGGCTGACTCTTGAGCCTTCGCTACTGAAGTGGACTATTGCATCGATGACGGCTTCGGTGGCTCCCTCGACGAACTACGTGCTGGGCTACATTTTCTGGCTGCCGGCTGCTGGCTGCTGGCGGCAGGGCGTGCTGCATGGCGTGGGCTGCGGGCTGAGGCGTGCTGCTGCGCTCCTCTGAGCTCCTGCTTCGAGACCTTCTGAAGCCGTAGAGGTGTACAGCCGCTCAGCATGACGCTCTGATACTGCCTAGGTTCTTGCTAGGCAGTTGTGCTTGCTGTGTAGCCCTGCGCCTCTCCTTTTTAGCAAACCTGAGCCAAAGGCTCACTTTTCTTCTCGGCTCTCCTGAGCCTTAGTTTCCCATGTTTCGGCTAATCTGGCCTCAACGACTCTAGTTTGTTTGGTCTTTCATGCCTCAGCTTCAAGCACCTTGGATTGTACAGCTGTCACATGTCCTCTGCTTGTCAGCTTCATGTTTGACCTTTTAGGTTCGGTCTCACAACCGACAACCAAAGACGTTACTGGACGCGCAGATCGGGACTTCGTTGCGATGCCCGAGTCTTGCCTGAACCGCAGTTAGGCGTGAGAACACGCAGCTTGGGCCCGAGACAGGAACTCCGCGAGTTCCAAGCTGGACAACACCGTAGGTAGGCTCGGTGGCTAAGTCTGTCTCGACTGTGCCATGGCTCCTTCCTCGGGAGGCGCTGTGGGTGCTGAGCGGAAAAGGATGATGGATTTGGCGGCCATGGAGGCCGCGACGTCGAGTACTCAGCTGACCCTACCTGTCAGCTACAGAAAGTTCAGGGGAGTTGCGCCGCGCAACTATGTTCTCAAAGCTATGCTTGAGGGTGAGCATGCTTCTATCGAAGACTTCCTGGAAAGGCTCAATGAGGATGCAAGTGCAGTTGTGGGATCGGCTGTGCTTGTGGATGAGCTCTTTCGTGTACGTGAAGCCCTCGTTCTTCTCTGGACCGAGCAGCTGACAAAGCGGTGTGATGGCGACCCACCTTGGGTGGAGCGCCTCCAGGCGATGGGACATTTCCCAAGCACTACCCTGTGGTTTGCTGACGGGGACTTTGGCCTTGCTCCGGCGGAGGCCTATCGCGATGCAAGTGTCCAGCAGCAGCGGGGCAGCCGGGAGCAAGTGGCAGCAGCGCTGCCGCCTTCTAGTGGGCGACCTGGTGCTGGGGCGGACGCTGAGCTGGTGACGCGGCCGGCTGCTGGCGAGATTGAGGAGGATGCGGGGCTGGCTGGGCCTCCCGAAGTGGAGGCGACCCACCATGGCGACGCTGCTCTTCCTTTGCAGCCGGCGGCCAGATGTAGTAGCGTAAGGGCCCCGACCCGAGAACCGCGAAAAATCAAAGAAGATCCGTGGAAGGACAAAGAGCCGCCTAGCCCGGCCTCTCCCTGCCTCCTTGGTAACATGTTTTCTAAGACCGGCCGTTCGGGGCCCCCTCTGAGAGTAGCTCTCCTTGCCGCCATGGCCTCGGTGCTGCAGCTCTCGGCCTGTGTCAGTGTCAGTCCCCTGCCTCTTGTGAACCGGCAGGTGTGGACTTCCTCGGGGGCCCCCTGGGCGCCACGGCCCAAGGTGGCAGTGCGATCGAGCAGAGCTGTGGAACGGATTTTCTTGGCGGCCCCATCTGGACGGTGCCGCAAGCGCATGCATATCCTAGTGCCAGTGTGGATCATGTGCAGCCTGTGCAGCAATCCCTTCCGTGCCTTCCGGTGTGTGCGCAATTTGGGCTTCCTGCTCTCCAGCGCTGCTTTGCATTCCTGCAAGGTGTCCGTGTGGGTGAGGCAAAGCACCCGGGTCCGCGAGGCCCACCAGCAGTGATTACCTGGAACTGGCATTTGGGGTTTAGGTTCGGCGAAGCTTCGCACCCGGGCCCTGCTGAGCCTACGAGCCGAGGTGATGGATGCCATCCCCCTTTCCCCTCTTGGGTTCTAGGTCCTCCGCGACGCCAGCAGCCGGCCCCGGTGCCGCTAGGCCCCCTAGGGTTTGAGTGTGCACCTAGGTGTTGCGTGACAGGCCGCCGGGCACCTGCAGGCGAGCCGATGCTTTCTGTGTGCCATGACTGGAAGAGGGGATGCCGCCTGGGCGAGGCCTCTCACCCTGGGCCTGGCTTCAACCTTGACCTTGGCAACCTTGGGGATAGCCTTGGCGATAGCATCATGAAGTCGATCAAGGAGCAGATCCAGAAGGCAGTTGACGAGGCAGTAAAGCAGGCCCTGGCGTCGCTCAATCTCGGCCGGGGCTTGGCTGCTGCCCGGCCGTCCGGCGATCCAGACGTGCAGCTCGAGCCAAAGGGCAGGCGCAAGAGGAAGCGTAAGGCCAAGCAGGCCACGAGCCACCCAGGTGGCAACCCCGACGTTTCGGGCAGCGAGCGTGCAGGTGGCCGCCAGAGCGCAGCCAAAGGCAAGGGCAAGTCTGAAGACAAGTCCGGCCCAGCCAAGGTGGCCCAGTGCGGTGGCCCAGGCGACTCAGGTCAACGCCGGGGCAAGGGCAAGGGCGGCTGTGGTGAGGCAGGCGGGCAGGAAGCCGGTG